CGGGCGCGCGGCCCGCGCAGCCGGGCCTGGTGGACCGCTACCGCGTGACGCGCTGCCGCCACGAGGTGGAGCAGGGCTGCGCGGTGCTGCGCGCCACACCGCTGGCCGACATGACGCCGCAGCTGCTGCTGGAGGTGTCGCAGGGCCTGTCGCGCAACCTCAAGTTCCTGACGGACGCGTGCGCCCTGGCCAGTGACAAGTCGCGGGACCGCTTTTCGCGCGAACAGTTCAAGCTGGGCGTCAAGTGCATGAGCACGAGCGCGTCGGCGCTGCTGGCCTGTGTGCGCGAGGTGAAAGCGGCACCCAGCGAGCTGGCCCGCAGCCGCTGTGCACTCTTCAGCGGGCCCCTGGTGCAGGCGGTGAGCGCCCTGGTGGGCTTCGCCACCGAGCCGCAGTTCCTGGGTCGCGCGGCGGCCGTGAGCGCCGAGGGCAAGGCGGTGCAGACCGCCATCCTGGGCGGCGCCATGAGCGTGGTGTCGGCCTGCGTGCTCCTGACCCAGTGCCTCAGGGATCTGGCGCAGCACCCGGACGGGGGCGCCAAGATGTCGGACCACAGGGAGAGGCTGAGGAACTCGGCCTGCGCCGTGTCTGAAGGCTGCACCCTGCTATCTCAGGCTTTAAGGGAGAGGTCTTCGCCCAGGACTTTCCCGCCAGTGAATTCCAATTCTGTGAATTAGCACCCCCCTCCCATACCCCTTCTTCCACCCCCAGACTAAAGGAAGATACTTACTCTCTACCCCTCTCCATTTATACCAAAGAAATCATAGGTGAAGCCGCCCCCTACCCCCCATGTTAAATGCTCGAGAGGAATCTTCCAAAGGGCAGGGCCATGCACACACCTTACATGCGCACCCGGAGGGCCGAGATGTCCACCAGCCACGCAGTAGGGACTGGGCTATGGAAGATGTGTATCTGCTGGTTGCAGCATTATCCAGCCAACCCCTATCCCAGCCCGTCTTCCGGAATTTCTCAACTAAATTTTATTATTAATTGGGCAGGAAGGAGGTCATGGGTTCATTTCTTTTTCTTTTTTTTTTCATAATTAAAAGAAAGGTTACCTCAGTTTTCACTCCTTAGACATGGATGTAGCTACCTTTTTTGTATGTTGTTATTTTTTTTTAAGCAATCGTGTTGAATTGGGAGTATACTTGGTGTGGAAAGAGTATGACTTGGCCATGTGATTTGCAAATGGGGGGAAAGCTACTGTGAGCGTGTGTTTTATTTTTTAATTTACACTATAGAGTGATTATTTTTCCCCCAGTGTCAAGTTTTTACCTTGCATGTACTGGAGTATTTATTTCATCTATTAAAATGTTATGTTTCTCAGATGGCTTTCTGCAATTATTGTTGATATTTCAATAATTGTAATTTTGCATGCTGCATGTCAGGTATGGACAGGGACTATGGAAAGGCTACTTCAGTAGTAGAGGGTGGATCCCCAATTCCCAACCCTTTCTGCTTTTTCCTCAAGAATTACGCATTTGAGCAGCCTAGAACTGAAGAAGAGACATATGTGCCAGAAAAATTCTATTTTTAAAGGCAGGTGACACAAATGTGATTGGACAGTGCTCCAGACTGGCTGTTAGTAGGGGTTCTTGTCTTGAGTCTAGTTTCTCCTGGAAAGTAGTTTAGCTCCCTTTGTCTCATCTCTTTTTGTCTAGCTCATCTTTCCATCAAAATAAGCAGTGGTTCAGGCTGACTGAAGTCTGGTCGGTATTCTGCTTGTCATTTTCAGACTAAAGCATTTCCTAATCCTTGCAGTATGCCAGCCTTCCCAACTCCAAGGATCTTGTATGAACTGTAAAAGTAGTATATGTCAAGAAAGAGTATGTAGCATCTTTAATGTAGACAGGTCTATTCAGACAATATCCTCATGGTTTTAGAAAAAAGAGGGGTTCTAGACCGTTTAATAGAGGAAGGGGTATTCTGGAAGTGTTAAGAACTTTCTGGAGTCACAGCATAATAGGCAAAGGGCTTATTTTTATGACCTGGGTCTAAGGTATGCTGTGGTCGATTGTATGTTGGAAGAATGCTTTGTTGATTGATGTTTGGGGTTATATTGAGATACTTTGTCTTTTCTGCAGATATTTTAAGGAATTAATTTTTTTTTTTGGTGGTGGTGTTGGGATGTATAGTTTTGCTGAACCTAGTTAACTTTTAAACATTTTTCCACTAAAAGTACAACAAATTTATTTACCTTGAAGCCTGGGAGGGCCACTTGGATAAAAGCACATACATGCTTTAAATTTGTGCAGTTTACATTTTTCTTGATTTGTTGTGCTTAAACCTTTGCATTTCCCACAGATGTGAAAAGAAAGAATTTTTTGCTGTAATTAGAAGAAAGTCATATTGACTGTTGTGCTTGCTTGAATGGATGTTTTATTACAAGAACATGAAAAGGTCTTTAAACTTGTGTTGAGTAAGAATAGGGCTGTTTTGCTGCTTTGAGTTTGGAGTTTGAAAAAGTCTGAAAGTGGTAGGGTATGTACATTTTTTAAGAGCGATCAAGAGAGCAGTTGTTTTTCTCTTAGGACTTGGTAGATTTAAGGTTTTTAAGCCTTTAAAGAAAATGACCTTGGGAATGTTTACTCTTCTCCCCACTTTTTAAAAGTCTGGATAATATTCATGAAAAATTTGTGGGAGAAAGGGGGTTCCTAACTCATGTGCCAGTGAAAATTGTGTACGCATACAGAAATTTTTACTTTACTTGTATTTATTAGATTTACACAGGTAATGATAGAGTTTATAATTACATGGTTCATTTAGGCTATGCAGATCACGAAGTGTAAACTGAAACGAACAAACACAAAGTAAAATAAGGCCAGAAATCTGTAAATTTGGTATTTGATTAAAAAAAAAAGAATTGCCAATTTTTTCCTGGACTCATTTCTTGCAGAAGCTATTTGCAAGACAATTCAAGCCAACAAAAGAAAAAGAAAAAAATAACTTTCCTTATTTACTTGGATGAAATTAACTAGATAGTCACCAAATTAATTTTGAAACTTCTTTCTCTTAGCTATAGTTGCCCTCAGTGTTTCTGTATGCCAAAGGTTTTGGCATGTAATATTCAAAATCCTTTAAGCTGATAGAAGTTTCAAACTTTAAGAAAAGTGGTTTTTTAATCGTTTTCTTTTCCTTTGCCTATAAGATAAAGTTCAGATTTTTTTTCTCCCAGCAGGTGTCTTGAATTCTGCTTGTACTTTTTTTCTAGTAAGTCTCAAGAAGCCAGAGTAAAGAGTGCACGTATTTCAGTATGTCTGCATTGCTTGGCTAGGCAAGGGATTTGGGCAGAGGTCTTTGGCATTTTAACTTTCTTCCAATATACCAGGTTGCTAAACTTGTTTTTTACGTTTTATTTATTTATTCTTTTTTGGCAGCTGGTCAGTATGGGGGCTCTGAACCCATGACCTTGGTGTTACTAGCATCAAACTCTCCCAAGTGTGCTAACCAACCAGCCCCAAAACTTGTTTTTTAAATAGCCCTTGATTTTTAAAAAGGAGCATGAGACCTATCTTGTAACAGGGTTTAATAAGGTCAGCACAGATACTGGTTCCAGGAATAAAATCAGAATGGCCTGATTTTTTTTTTAATTAAATCACGCTAGAGTTAATTTAAGAAATCAATCCTTGGATTCTGACTTTGGAGGACAAGTTTTCTTACTCAGGCTTAATGCACACCCCTTCTTCCTTTGAATGGTCATGAGAAAAGGAAATCATTATGGCTAAGTTCTCTGAACAAAACCCATTATTTGTGACAGCCTACCCAAGTAAATGGGACAAAACAGGCTTTCAGACATAAGATTTAGACAGAAAAAAGCTCAGCTCTGTTTTTTTTTTGCTATTTTGAGCTTGGCCTTTATTATTTATTCTGGGTTAATGTTAGGAAATGCAGAAATTACATGTGTGTGTTTCCTTTTTTTCCTCCCCCAACCCCTATCATGCTTAATGCACACCCCTTCTTCCTTTGAATGGTCATGAGAAAAGGAAATCATTATGGCTAAGTTCTCTGAACAAAACCCATTATTTGTGACAGCCTACCCAAGTAAATGGGACAAAACAGGCTTTCAGACATAAGATTTAGACAGAAAAAAGCTCAGCTCTGTTTTTTTTTTGCTATTTTGAGCTTGGCCTTTATTATTTATTCTGGGTTAATGTTAGGAAATGCAGAAATTACATGTGTGTGTTTCCTTTTTTTCCTCCCCCAACCCCTGTCATCTTTATAATTCTGGAAACATTAGTTATATCTGATTGGTTATTTTACAGTTTTTTTTTTTTTTAATTGGCAAAGGAATCTAAAATGTTTGGCAGTTTGAAACAGCTAATTTTAACAGAAACACCTGTTTTTCCTAATGAATGTGACTATGGTAACATGCAGATCAGGCAGAGGATTTGAAAAGCGACTGCCAAAGCCCCTTCTGAGCTTTTCTCAGTGAGTGTGAAAGGACTTAGAAGAGAAATCTGTGAAGATATGCGTGAAGACTTAGCAGCATTTCCACCCAGGGCTGTTCCTTGAGCTGCCGTCAGGTTTCCAGCAACTGGAAGGGTCCTTAAGGAGACCATCTCTGGGTTTCCAGTGTGGACACAGATAATTTGTGTTCTCTCCCACCAAATTCTTGTCTTGATTTAAATTGCGTGTGTGTGTGTGTATTTGTGTGTGTTTGTGAAATGTTTTGGTCCTTTTTGCCTCAGTAGGGTTTTTCTTTGGTGGTGTTTGGATAGGTCAGTTGTTTCCATTTCACTTCCTGGCAGAAGTCCCAACGATTTACCTGTCTGGATATTATAAGGAAAAATGTAATACTGGTGTCTGTGATTGGGGTCAATTTGAGTGTAAGTCCCTTAAGGTTAAGGGCTATAGTGTCTGGCACATGTGTAATTGTTTTTTGAAAGGAATGTGTTTATAAGATGCCTGCAGCAAGTATACATAAGCAAGTAGTAAAGTTGTTCCTGAAAAGGAAAGTTATAATGGCCGTTCATTTGGCAAATATTTATTGGGGGCCAACTGTGTGCCAAGCACTGTACTGGGTGCTGGGGTACAGCTGTGAGAGTTAAACATGGTTCCTCTCCTTTCAAACACTGCTGTGTAAGACTCAGTGCTGCTTGAAGTCCAGGCACCTCCAGCATCACTCCTGGGCCCTGCCTCAGGCCTATTCATTCAGCAACTCTCGGGGCAAAGCTGTGTCTTATCCAGCCCAGGTGACTGGGGTGCATGCCCAGGTTGGGGAACAAGTGCCCTATGGTGTCTGCTAGTTTCTTTTGATTCCCTCCGAGTACTTCTGTATCAGGTGGCAACAGCATTTCTGCAAGTTCCTTGCTTGCTCAGGTGTCCTTTTTTCTCCTGGATATTGTGAGAACTTTTCTTCAGATGGAGAAGGCAATTTGGTCTCTCTTGTTAATATGAACTCTTTGAGAGTCCTTTTGGCATCTGTGTGTGTTTACAAATACAGAGTTCTCCCCCACTTCCCACCACCCTTTTGAGATGAGCCAAAATCATATAATAATGTAGCAAAATAGCTTTTTATATTTTTACATGTTGTTGATTCTTGTTCTAGAAAACTGGAAATAGCAGACAACCTAATTAAAAATCAGCCCTTTAGTCCTTTGACTGCCCAACAAATAGCACTTTGCTATTGAGTTTGTAAAGTACTATATTTACAACCAAGTGTAGCATCCAGACTTATTCCAAAGCTCTCTTTAAGGATAATCAAAGTCTGCAATGTACTCAGGAAATATACCCTCCCTCTAAGGCTGACCATACGCCAAGAATGAGGATGATCTTTTGGAGCCTTAATACCCACAAGGGTGGTCGCAGGAACTTGGAACATACACAGACTCTTGGCCCCGTCCACACTGGGATCTACCCAGTCAGAACTTGCTCTTTGGCAAGCGCTCCAGGTGATTTCTGTCACATTAACATTGGAGAAGCACTGTTTTAGGAGATAAATTTGGTGACCATGACTGAATCATGATTTTCTTCTTTACTGTGGGAACTTAGGCATTCGTTATGTTTATTTAGACCTTTTTAGTTTATATAGCATATTCATGTATATTATGCAATTGGGTCCTTCCTTAGCGCAATCTCGGGAGGTAGCAGGTATTACTCACTGTGCATGTCATCTAAACATTTGTGCCTCTCTCTTCCCGTTGTAAAAATTAAATCAAATATTTATAATGAATTCCCATGAAGTGCAAGGCCTTGGGATGAGCGCTATCAGACTAGTTCTGTCTACTTCATACAGTCATCAAAAGTATTATCTTAAACACTTCATGTTAAAGTCAGTTTTTCTTAATGACTTTACCTTTACCCTTCCATTAATGGACACAACCAGTGT